TTGTATTTATTACCTTTTTTAGCGACAGTAAAAATTCCAGACAGTCACTGTCGCACCGCAGTTAGCGAGTGGCTTCCGCTGTACTGAAATTCCGACGAGGATAAGGGAAAGCAGTGATGGACAGGACCACGCTAAGAAACATAATGAAGGCTCCAAAGTTGTGATATGGTTCTACTTGCTGGGAGAAGTCTGTATTTGACCCGAGCTATCATCACTTTCCCGAAGCCGAACAAGAGGGTTATGCCTGCTGCTGCCATCCTCACTGATCTAACTTCCGATCTACTGATTCACCGGGAACAACTTTTTCAGATTAGGTTTGAATGTAGCTACAGAATCTAAGATTTTATGTTAAAACTTACCTTGTTATCTGCAGTGGTAATCTTGCCTTAACCATGATGCTGTTCTACTGTTAGAAAGACGATGCAGAACATGGCTTTCTAAAGAAATTGAGTGGATATATGGTCTTTTCATGTTGCCATCTTTCACTCGACTTGTACCTGGTATATCAACTTCGTGGAGCCCTCACCATTGGCTCAACATTCGCTAAAATCCATTTCAGGCAGGTTGAGAAGAAATAAGACGGCATGTTTGAAGCATTAGTTCGATGAGACGATAATAAGTGCATCTAGAGAGAACTTAACAGCGACAGCGTATGGTTGCGAGGGAAAGCCCAATAGACATCACGATTGCATCCTGGACGGTTACCATCAAATATGATTCGTGTCCATTGTAATATTATTATTATTATTATTATTATTATTTGTTTTTTCGTTTAATTTGAGGCTACTGAGAATAATGGTTAGATAGAAAAACCAAGATTGGCACGGCAGGGATGAGAATTTCGACGCTGCATTGACGTCAATCCTCAGCCTCAGAAATCGCCGCAACCAAGCACATGATAAGATCAATCACGCTCTGCCTGCTCATTGCGCGCTGCAATTCCATGATAAAATCCACATGCACCTAATAGGATCCAGGGAGTGAGGGGAGATTCCAAGACCTGCAAAGCCTTGAAAGAAGAAACCACCAAATCAGCGTAATCTCTCTGTTGCGTGTGTGCAGGAGTAAGATGGGCGACCCACGGACAGCGTGACGATCAGGGTCTCAGTGAAGTGTGGGGGGGGGAGGGGTTGGAATTGGACAAACTGCGTCAGCAACAGAGGGACGCAGGATCTCCGAGTTGTTGTCAGTGGGAAGCACAGGGGAAGGCAACACGGAGGAGATATATCCTGCGCCCGGGATCCACCCAAGCTGGTGCTACCCTGAAGCATAGTCCCACAACCGCGCCATTTAGAAAAGATCACCTGCAGAAAAAGATCCTGCTGCCTCAACGGACACTGATGCTCCTCCTCCTCCCTCCCCCTCCCCGAGACTGTCGATGCCTCCTCATTCCTCTTGCGCCATGTCGGCGACGACATGGGCCACCTCTCAATACAAATTTGAAGATAGCGAGATAATATGGGGACGTGTTCATACCGTGATGTTCATGTATTGCAACTCAAGAGTTCTTGATTCAAATAATATTGAGCAAAAGAGACTAAAATGGGAGGTGATCTCAGATCACTCTCAAAATTAAAGAATGCAAAATAATATTAGTTTCAAAGTTGCTACAAATATTATATATATATATATATATATATATAAGCAAAAACTCATGTTGTTGGGCATAGAAAAGCTATAACATTTTAATTTGCCAAGTCAAACATAAACAACTTCTAAAGAAACATCAAAAAAATAATATAAAAAATAAAAAATACAAATCATATAAAAATGGAGTTTTTTTTATGTTTCTCCATTTTTATTTGCAAAGATAATTCTTATTTATTTCAATAGCTAAAATAGTTAATTAAATAAAAAATTAAAATAAATTATATTTATTGTAGTATTTTTTTCTTTATTATTTTTGGAATAAACAATCTTGATTGTATTTGAAGAAATGCATTATGAAAGGGCAACATAAATTTTTATATTGTGAAAAGAGAACATATGTTTTTAGCTATTAATAAATCTTCTTTGTGTCAACCAATTAGCCAATGAAAAGACTTCTTTGTCTCTTTGTCTTATAAATTATACAAAATTGAAAATATAATTCTCAAAATGTATGTATACTTTATCATTTAAAATCTACTAAAAAACAACTTTTATTGAATTTTTTTATATACATATAGCTTAATTAATGTATTTTTAAATTAATTTCTAATTACAAATATTTTTCGTAAGTCTTAAGGTAAGTTTTAATATATCATTCTTTATATATTTAATTTTATATAATTACAATAAGAAGTCGTAGATTTTTATATTGAAATTTGATTCTTTGATTTTGTAATATGAAATCATGAATTTTGTAATGATATAGAAATAATTAAAAAATAATTGTAAATTTTCAAAAAAAATCATAGAAAAAAAATATACTCTGAATAAAAATAACACAAGTACAATTTTTTTAGGTGCATTCAATGTATTGACATTTATCTTATTGAAATATGATTATTTTATTAAGATCATACAAATAAATAAATAAATAAATAAATAGGTCATATTTTTAATAATTTATTTATTATATTTGAATGATTGTTAAGATATGATAACTTTTTTGCATGCTAAAAGTAGATTTAATGCTAACTTAACCATACTCATGTGTTAACATACATGAATAAATATATATAATCCATACCTTTGGACATAAAAGAATTATAATGTTTTAATTTATTAAATAAAAAATCAGCAATATCTAAAGAAAATTTTAAAATAATAAAAAATAAAAAATAAAATCATATGATAATAGAATCATTTATGTGTCACAAATATATATATATATATATATATATATATATATACATATATAGAAATATTTAAAAAGTCGATAGAAGTAAGTAGAAGTAAGTAAATTTGATATTGTCTTGTAGAGAAGCTTTATAGAAGCTTGATAAATGTGGATTTGAAATTATATGTATTTATAGGTGATAAATAGGTTGAAAACTTGGCTAAAAAGTTGGTTATGTGGTGCACATGTAAGAAACTTGTCTTGAAAGTTAGATATGTGTTAGAAGTTCTATAGAACGTCATCACATAGCTCTTAGTTGGATAATATATATAGAGGTCAAAGTAAGGCCTTTCCCACTCTTGTTAATACTTTTTTTGTTTTTTGTCTTATTTTAAGAGTCTCTATTCTTCTTATATTTAACAATAGTCATTCTAATTTAATGGATTTAGTAAATTTTTCTATTATATAAATAGAAAAAAAAATTATAGAACCTACATTTGACAAAAGTGATAATTAATTTGCAACTATTGCAGTATTTTACAAACTTATCAACACTCTTAGGATAGAGACCTCAAGTATTATCAATATCAATCATGGATGTATTATTCATATGCCTATAAATAAAATCAATAGTATAGTTCAATATCTATTCTAACAAATTGTATAATTGAAAGAAGCAAATAAATCAACTTCACAATTGAATTTGAAAAGTCTTATTACTATAAGTATGGAAAGACAAGGATTAGTATGCTAAAGAGGTTTGATTGAACAAGATCAAAATTTTGAAGATTTCTACAAGTCAAATTCTATCTAAACTTGTATCTATTATAATATCTTGATGGATTAATAAGCACATTCATATGTAGAAATGCTCTATGTTAATTTACATCTTTGATAGGAAAATATTTATGCATCTTATATGATCTAAATTTATTTTGGAAAGTGTTTATAATTACATTTAGAAAAAATGATTAAAAATCATAACAAAGACTAAATTCATATTTTTATGCCAAAGATCACAATCAACTACGATAAATGCTACTAAATTCCAAAACCTTGCTTACAACATAGATTAAAATGATAAAGCCTTTATCAATCAATTTTTATGTGAATTAAAAGATAATGTCAAAGATTTATTTTTGATAATATCTAAAGCATATTTATTAATTTAATATATTATTTAAGCCATTGCATGCAACATTAAATTTTTTGAAAGACATCAAGAACAAAGATTTCTTTTAAACAAAAAAAAAAATTATGACAAAAATTTCCAAATTTTTAGAAAATTATTTATCCAAAGTAGAACCTATGCAAATTGATATAATATGTTTTAAATTTTTCATTGAACAAGAAAAGACTTTATATTGTTAAGTAAGATTATGCTTATATTATTGAGAATCTAAATACATTACTTAATATTATTCAAAGTAGTAATATAATTACAATATGAAAAGCATGGTTGCTAAAAATGAAAGCATGTTAAAAAATGAGTTTATTCAGCTATAATAAGAATTGTGCAGCTAAAATCTTGTACAACATATAATAAAGGTCATATTCTATCTTCAAATTTCTTACTTTGTTTTATAAAAGATACTTATTTAAGATAGTTAAATTATAAGATTTAGAAACATTAGCTTCTTTTATAGATGAAGACTTTGTCAAAAAATTAAAAATATTTTTAGTTAAAAAAACTAAATTTATACATGTAGAAATCATAGATGGTTGTTTGTTGTCTTTTAGAAATATTAATCATAAAATTATTCGTATAGAAATAGAAATTAATGATTATAAAAATTTAATGATGATTATTATTATTATATATTATTTTAATTTAACTAATTTATATTTATTGTAGCTAAAAAAGCATAATCTTTGAATAAACTAGATTTTATGTAATTTTAATTTTTTCTATAGTATAAATTAAACTCCTATTATCTAAAAAGATAGTTATAAGTTTAAAATATCAACATTCGTTTATGCCACATTTATTTTTTATAATAGAAAGACTTCAAGTGACACCTTGGGTTGCTATAGGAATTTTCAAGATATTTTTTAGAAAAAAAATATAAATATTATTTCAAAGCATTGTTCTTATGATTGTTCTTTAGATCTTTAAGAAAGAGTTCAACTACTATTTGAACCAATCTATAGCTTATTGCAAAATGAGCTAGTTGTACTCAATGAATATATTAATGAAATTTGGCCAAGTATTTAATATGTCATTCAAAATCTCTAGTAAGAGATAAACATGCTTTCGTTGAGATTCGGCTCCCTGGTAAAAAAAAATTACATTATTTTTCAAGGGGAAAATTCCGAAGCAAGCATTGGGCCACAATGTCTTCTCACTACCATCTGTGAAGGATGAAGGTAATAATAACCTGCTAAAAAGTTCCGAACTACTGTAAAACGGTTCAGTTTATCCCAACGTTCATGTACAGAAGAGAGACGCTAGGCTGGGGGCTGTTCTGTAATATCTAAAATGAACAGGGCAATAGAAACTAAGGAAGAAAGCCGATATATTTTCTTAAAGACACACTCTCCTCTCTGCTTCAAACTCGCACGCACTTGTTTTCTATCTACAAGAACTATAGCCTGTCTACAAGATGCGATCTGACAGCGAGGGTAGTCTCTTAAAGAAGTTCAGGGGCACGGATGGAAGTGGGTCTCGGAACCGTGGGTGCCGCAGTGCGTACACACCAAGCAGAACTGCTACCACTTGAAATGGAGTCACATACAGCACGATAGCAGTCACGAAGCAGAAGCCAATAAATATCGTAGTGGCCCTGCACACAATTGCAACCATTGTAAATCAGATCCCACTTGATATACTACGAAGTAAGAAATTAGTCGAATCAGGCAAAGGTTTGAAACAAGTGGAAGGTTTTTACAATCATGCGCATACCTGGGGTCCCGCCAACTTAGTAAAGAATTGAGCTTCTCTCCCATGCTTGCAAGGTCACCAAACGCATTCTGAATGCGTCCAGCCACGCCACGCAATCGCTCATATCTCATTCTCAGTACCTCCTGAGCTCTACTAGCAGGGATAACATTAAATTCTTCTTCCAGCTCATCCAAGTGTCCAATATACTCTCCTTGAGAGAGCTTGGCATCCATGAAAGGGGGCGTCCGTGACCGAAAGCGGTACTTCCAAGCTCCGATCAGAAACATGTAAAAGAAGACTGTCGGGAGGAGAAGCTCAGGGTACCAAACAAGGATCAGGAACAAGATGTGAATGAGGACGGTGGTGACAGGACTCTTCCAGTTGCAAATGTCGGAGAACCAGTTCATAACAGCTAGTACTCCAGACAACACCCCCTGCAAAGTAACAAACAAACACAATCTTTGTCAGTAATCTGAACGATAATATGCAATGTCAAGGCTGCGTCCAACACATGATAGAAACGCGACGATATAAGTGCACCCAAAAAAAAGAATATCGGCAGTACCATAATTCGATAGTAGTTAGCTTTACTTCGGCGCATGCTCCACCGCTCAGCTTCAGTGTCGAGCATGAACTGTACAACCTCCTGCCTCAAAGGAGGCTCTGAACGCATCAACCTTAACGCTACTATATTCATTGCAGCCACTCGAAGCATTTCTAGTTGCCTTGGATCAAGGGGGTAAAAGAAGTGCATCTTGGGCAACTGTGGCTGAAGATAAGCAGCAAGCACATTTGCAGTCGCTGCGGTGGTAAACCTCACTGCCATCTCCAATTCACCCATTTTCTTCACTCCTTGTGGTGTGACGACCAGAAGAGGGTACGCGTTTGTGTACACTCGGTCACTCTCCAGCGTAGACAGCCTAATACGCACTTTTCCAATGGGTAAATCTTTAGGCGCACCACCCACTGGAAAACTGTGCCGGTTGTCAAATACACCTACTGTGAGAACTGTACAAGGATCATAAACCTCCCAAGTGTACTGCTCATTCCAACGGGGATTGAAACTCTCAAAGATGGTGCGCGTGCGAATCCACTTGGGTCCATACTTGGCAACACAGTAAGCATCAGTACTCCCTCGATTATCTTTAGTTGTCTTCATGGGAAGGAGATTATTAGCACCGTGAATCCCAACCTCTAAAACTCCAAGCGGCGGCCGCCATAGCTGCCTTGCTGTAGGTCGAGTATCACTGATGTAATTAGACGATTCGTCCATGACGTGGTAACCACCATCGAAGCAGAGACGAAGATGAATACGACCGAGGAATGATCCTCCTCCTCCACCAGGTCTTACCAGAACATACCATCTGGAGGCTACTGGACGACCATCAATACGGCGTTCAATACTCATGAGGGGTATTTGAACATGTCCAAGCAACTCTTCCTGCACACAGAAGAGATTGAGTCAATGCGATATGGAACCAAGCTTAAAGAGACCTGCCCATAACAATATGAATCCAGCAAATTCTCATCATGGCAACACAGAGACATCGGCCTCAAGCACCAATAACTACCTAAGCAAACCCAGTAAGTACCTTTCCAGGAACCATTCGGTCTTCAACGTAAATTTGCATCATTTCATCAAATGGCTCTGAAGCAACGAACATCAAGTCTTCGTTCCAAAACGGGCTGCCGCCTCGTGTAACAGCTCGTGATGTTCGCAATTGTTGGTATGGTCCCACGAGCACCCTGACATACTGCAGCACATCGCCACTCACAAGATTACCATTGTAGGCAATACAAGTTTTAAAAACCTTAACGTGTGGGCACTCCGATTTCTGAGAGCCCTGCAGGAGGCGAAATGTCAGGTTACTACTGATGTGATGAAAAAGTTTAAACGAGCTACACTTACCGGCTCTGTTAAAATCCTGTCACTTGCCAATAGATCCTGCGCCTCAATTACGTTTACTCGCAGATACCATAACTTGGGAGACAAATATATTTTTGACCTGAACATCGCACTTCCACCAGTGTCTGAGTGCCATGCGTCGGGAAAGACTTCATCAGCCTGAGTACCCCACCAGATTGCAACCATCAAATCCCCTGCCACGTTCGACATGACCAATTAGTGTGATTCAACTGTTCCACTGCTGTAAAAATGCAGTGGCAGATTCAAGCGGCTTCCGTGTCAAGTAGCTGGCACTGTTGACAGGGTGCAGTTCCCCAAATTCAGTACAATGACAAGAAATCCAAAGACTATAGCCTGAGCAGAATGAAATTCTTCCAGGTTCGGTTGTAAAAGGTACCACTAACTCTGCCCTTGCCAGACTTCGACTCCAGTCTGTACCATTGCGGAGCTAGGGGGCTTTCGGGAGGCTTCCGAGGAGGAACCTCACGTAAATCAATCATGAAGCCTCCAAGGAAGTCATCTTTTGAAAGTTTATCCTGCTCACATCGAAACTTACATGTCAGAAACACAAACCGAACACAAAAACAACGAACATGTGAACATGATGCAAGCATAGATCCAACTCACCGCATCCCACACTGACAGCTCGCACGCTCCACCCTGAATCTTGTCCCTTCCGATTGCAAAAGATTGATTCCATTCTGGATTGAGAGTACGCGGGATTATCCTGGTCTCCGTCTTAACAGGACCCACAGATATCCGCACATACTGATTTCCACACCACAAGCCCCGTTGTGTCAATGTGTTAAAATATTCTCCCCTGAAGGCAAATTATACGCATTCAAATAGAAAATGACGAGCAGCAGTTGCTCAAAGTAGGTGGCACAGTCAGTGGTCAGAAAGGCTTACTGGATCACTCAAACCATTGTTGTCCTTTCCCATCAGATTGCGTGCTCTGACGACCCGAATGAAGAGGTAGGTCATCTCCTCCACGAGGTCATAATGCTGCTTGTAGTCCACGGCCTTTCCCAAATCAGGGTTGGTTTCCTTAACAGTAAAATCAGCCTCTGGCACAGTTATTCTATTAGGCCTGAGGCCTTCCGGCACTTGATCTGCCTTGGCTTCCCTCTTCTTCCCTCCCCCAACAACAATTCCTGGGATGTTTTTCCCAGCCCCATCTCCAACTACCACAACTGGCTCTCCCTGAACATTATTACCGCACTTGCCACCCTTAAGAGATTGCTCCGAGCCCTGCCACCAAATTTTCAACCTGTAGTGGGAATTCACTGCCAACGCGTCACTCCACCTGAACTCGTGAGGAGAAGAAGTGTTCAGACGAGAGATGGTTCAGATAAGCTCACCCTAAGTCACCTTTGATGTGCGAGAAAAGACCTCTCTTCTGCAACGGATACCATCTTACTGCTTCGGGCTTGTTAGGCACAGTATTTAAGGGAACTATAACTCGACCCAAGAAGCTATTCCGTTGGCCTGTCCCGCTCTTTCGCTCGTTCTGGACGCAAATTTCCACATCCCCAGACATTCCAATCTCGGGCATCGCGAATTCAAACTGCACAGAAATCATGGCCATGAGCCATAACCTCAGGGTTGGTGTCGCAGGAGATGCACGATGTCCGCAACGTGAAATCATCACACTTAAGGAAAATCTTCATGCGAGAAAGAGAGAACAAGACAGCGCACAAGTTCGGTGACTCGAATATCAAAAGCAAATGTAATGTTCATTGGGGTGCTCAGTGTGATGAGCATTGAGGGGTGCAGAACGGCACTGAGCGACCCATCATACACTAGCGCAGGCAGATCGTCTAACCTTCTCGTTCCAAGTAGGGTCAAGGTCTTTGGGCTTCACCCTCGTCCTCTTCCGCTGGCCATGGAAATCCAGCTGCACACATTGATGCTCTCGCAAATTAGAGATAGCTTTCGCACTAACAAATAATTGATAATTTCTAGCCAGGAAATGGGAGTGCACGGCCAGATAGGCAGTTGTCACAGAATCTTGTGAGAGCCTTCCTTCTCAAAATGTGATCCTCGCACAGTGCAAGGAGAACAACGAAGCCGAAGTCCATCACCCCTAAGTAATCCAAACTAGCTCAAATTAGTCCTCCCTACTGAGAAAAACAACTTTTGGATCATAATGGACTAACACAAAAACGCACCACGCAGTACGCATTCGCTGACCCTTGTCCATCCTTGGGCATGAGGCCTTTCGCGGCCAGCACCTCCACCACGAGCTTCCGGCCCCCAGCCATGGCCGACTCTCCCAAAGGCCCCCACAACACGAACAACTCGAAACACCGCAAACAAGTCCAAATTTCACAACCCCCTCATTTCTAGGAATCCTCAACTCTGCACGGTGATCAACCACACTACACTCCCCTACAAGCAACCGCCTATTCAAACCACCATGTTCCCGTCGACACTCACGCGGGACAAACCGAACAACCAGTTATCAACCCGAATCCCCCTTCTCACGCAATTGGCGGCTGAGGCATCACGAGCTCCGCTAAAAACCTCCGTCGTCTCTTCCGCTAGCCCCCCTTCTAGACTACTCATCACTCCCACAACCGTGGTAGATCTCACGCTACCGCTATTAGTGTCGGCCGCATTTCCCGGTGCTCAAACAAAGTAAGCTCTTCCATTACCTTCTCGCACACAATCGCTCCCTACAACCACCCTCTCCCAACTAGTAGACTGCAACGCTACCATCATGGCCAGCATCCGCCACAAGATGATGGGACCCCAAGCGGCAAGGATCTGGTCTTCCCCTGGTGCTGAGACGACTTAACATGTCATGCCTCAGTCTGAGAACAGGGTAGACAAAAGCAGCGGGACTGGGACTGAACGCGAAATATGTCACAGATTTCGGAGCTTGGACGCGGTTAATCCCTTCTTCCTCCTTTTTTTCACTCCTAACTTCGTCTGTTTCAAGTAAGGGTTGGACAGTTGCATCCCATCCAGATGCTTCAGCACAGGAGCGCGGTCAAGAGATTCTATGTTAGCCTAACGCATCCGCGCCTCCGTCAACTCAATTCGACATCGTTTAGTACCATCCCACGCGTGCAAGTTTCAAATTGGCAGCCGCACCGCAGAGCCTGTACAAGTTTCACACAACCCACTACTAACTCGGATCCTAGCACACATACAATCGGCTCAACTAGGACACGGATGGATTCCCTGCTACTCTGGCTAGGATTTTCTTCTGGGCACGGAAGTAAGTGAGTGCATAGGGGTATATTAAAGGATTTTGTGGGAATGCGTCAGAACCGAATCGGCGGCACAGATCTATTGAAGCGTGAGGGAACATCCAGCCCAAAGCGTCTGACGTCCTTCATAACTACGCCCCCGCTCCATTATTATAGGGCTTCCACAACATTCTCCAACTGTAGGGGGTGATGAATCCCTACATCAAAGGAATGGTTTCGGAATATGCAATAAATGATTTTCTATTGCAAAATCATGATCGCTTTGCTAAAAATAATGCCGAAGGTTGTGTCCCGCCGGCTTTAGTGTGTTTATATTTTTATTTTTATTTTGTATATTCCTAATGCTGTCAGCTCCGTTGCAATAATAGTGCAGAATCGGGTTGTTGGGCCCATTCTTGTTCTGATTGCGTCCAGCGAGATGGCTTTCTTCTCATCGGGTAGGCACTAATTATCCTCACTCTGATGTGATAATTAGACTAATTTGAATCATAAGCAACGTAATGGATTGCGCACTTTGAGACTTATAGATGGTGTGAGATTTGACTGTTGAATGCAAAGGAGTTCATATTTATTGGAAAAACCTTCTTTTAATTGTACTTGAATTCTGGATCAACTGGAGCCGATAAGATTGCAGTTATCATGAGTTGCGATTACTGCTGATAATCCTCATTTGCCGGATTTGAAAATTAATCAGCGACAGCTTGCGCTGTCGTCATCAAGGACTGAAATGTTTTTTTCCTGCAAACCCCTGGAGTAAAACTTCAACCCAATTCGGAGCACGTTTGATAAGTTTTCAATGGGGAAAAAAGAAGTACAAGAGCGTCTGAGGCTCAATTTTGCGGCGAAAATTATTATTTAAAAATAATCACTTAGTGTGTCATCATGATCTCTGTCGTACTTTAATTGGCCTCACGGTATGTGAACCCTAAGACATCGCATCCCACTTCGTAATTCTCATATGCTTGGTACTGGAATGCACTTACGAGGGTTACGATAGTCGTTTAAAACCTGCTAGGACTAATTTCATATTTATCGCCCCAAAAAATAAAATGGTAAGACTACACACACACACAAAAACATGTACAAACTGTGGCAGCCTCCTCAAACACAACGTGGCGAAACTGCGCCATCTCACTTGCGGGACTGTCAACCGCGCTGCACCGAAAACTGGTGCTGCATCAAATCCTCGCTAGGGGTGGGGACATCAACAGGTAGAGAGAGTTCCGAAACACCAAAAAACCCACAAGAGCGTAATTGAACTGGCGGGGATCCATGTGGGAGATGAGCAATTCGAACTCTCTCTCCTAAGCCACGACGAAGTTGGCAGTAGTTGACCGAGTAAACTGTGAAGGTTCCTTGGAGGCGAATCTCGTAATCAACAAAAGGGCAAAGGATACTTTGTCTCTAGCTCCCAATAACTCGTTGCTTTTCAAATAAAGTACGCCCTGGAAGTCCCCGAGGGTGGGACCCTTTTGCTTTCGATATTAGGTTGTAGTTTTACTGCTGGTGGCTTGCCCCAGAAAATACGCGGCTCGTCCACAGAATGCCTCACTTATCTCCACAGTGTTGCGAGCTGTGAGGATGCGGACAATACCCTGTTGCCATGGTCCCTCTCCCATGGCCGCAGGCACCGTCGCCACTCCTGCTGCTTGACCACGTCACTTGGGGGGGGGGGGGGGGGTGGGCTGCTACCTGCTTCAGGGCTACTCGGGTTTCTGGGTTGCTCAAGAAAAAATCACTATCTGTCACTTCGTGACTCGGGAGTTGCAATTCTTAGCTTCGTTGGTCTTTTTTTGATAACAAGTACATGGGTAGACTCGAGACGATTCTTCCATGGCAGTGATGGTTGTTGCAGTTGTTGGTGATTGGTGCATCGTCTCGAGTGTTGTTCATATTTTGCGCTAGCGCCAGTAAGACACTGGAAACGGGGAGTAGTGGAAGAGGATTGATTGATTTGTGACTAGGGGCTGCTGGTTGACTTGGTCTCTGGGTTCGCTGCTACACTGCCGAATTGGGTCGTTGACAGGGTTTGAGATGATGTTGGTGAGCTTTCTGTGGTAATCGATCTAGTAATAGAGCTGGAGAATTTCTGCTGAAGAAGAAACCTTGGGGGTGGTGCCTAGTGGGTTGTCGGTGACAGCCATGGTGCGCAAGCTCATCGTCGAGGTTGTGGCCGCAAAGGCCTTGATGCCCAAGGATGGTCAGGGCTCCACGAATGCTTACTGTGTGGTGCGCTTATGCACTCTATGCTTTAGTTTCTGCAACATTTCTTTTGTCTCATTTTATTTAAAATTTCCCTCTCCTTGTTCTGTTGACGGACTGCGGTCAAGTAGTATCATGTGGTGGTTTTCATGGTGCCAACCTACATTTTATGACTATTCGCTAGTCGCTGCGCTTTCCTTGAGGGTTATGGTTTTGGGCGGGATTTATATTGATAAGTTTTGTACAAGTTTTCAGAGGGTGGGTTCACCTATCTGAGATTGAATGCCACCTTCTATTGGTGTGTAGTTGGACTACGATGGCCAGCGTAAGAGGACGAGGGTAAAATCCAAAGACCTCGATCCTACGTGGAATGAAAAGGTACGACGTATTTCAAACACTGGGAGTTTTCTGCTACTGAATTGAGGCATTTTTCGTCCAGAGAAAGCTGCGTGACTTGAGGAGAATCCATTGTTTTGTAACAGTTGTGTTAATTTGAGCTTCTCATAGTCCATTGTAAGCCCTTCACAGTAATTCCTTGGGAAGATTTCTAAGCTTCGGCACTTTACTGGCTGTGCTTTGTGGAGAAAATGGAATGTAGCTATCATAATCCACTTCTTTTGGGCACTCTTTGATTTTCCTCGCCATTTGTTCAACATTCGTCATCATATTGACTTACTAGTACATGACATTCCCAATTTGCCTACACAGGCATAGTTGCTTGAGAAATGTTCTAAACTCAACATTGGTCTTTGAATGCAGTTTGAGTTTCTGATCAGGGATGTTGCGATACCTGGAGACTTGGAAATCAACATCCAAAACGAAAGAAACAGTGGTACTGGGAGGCGAAGCAGTTTCCTGGGGAAGGTGACAGTCCCTATCCAATTCGTTCCTAATAAACCTGAACCAGTCAGATGGTACCCTTTGCAGAAGCGAGGCCTTTTCTCGCATATCAAAGGAGACTTGGGGTGAGTCCATTGATTTTTCTAAGTTAAATCTCACACGATTTTCTTTCATAACGTGTTTGGGGTTTTTGTATGTTCAATTACGTGGTGGCTGATAGATATTTTTGCTGTTGCGCTGGCCACAGGCTCAGGATTTGGTGGCAGCCTGCAGAGTCGATCACAAAATCCATGGCTGATGAGATGTCAAATAGAGGACGCGTTCGACAAGACTTGATGGAAGGTGGGGGAGGAAGGGCGAACAACAATGTGGCAAAAGCAGATCGGCAGCCATATCCCATAAGGCCTAACCCAGGAATTGTTCCTGAAACTGATTTCATTGTGAAGGAAACTAATCCTGACTTGGGAAAGGCCGTTGATTACAACCAGCACTTCAACCTGGTTGAGCAGATGGGATATCTGTTTGTGCGTGTAGTTAGGGCACGAGATCTCCTGGGAAATGGACGGTGTGACCCGGTGCGTCCCTTTAAGTCTCATTAGTTTGCCAAGCTAGTGATCCTCTACTTTTTTGGTGTGAAAACCTACAATATCTTCTGTTTAAAGTGCTCAAAATGGTGTTTCGATGCGATTAGATTGCTGATGGGGTTGTGTTTATTGCTTCCGTGGCTGGAACAGTATTGTAGGGTTTTTGTAGGGCCTGTCAAAGCGGAGACGAGGATCGTCATGGGAGATTCCAACCCTGAATGGAACCAAGTGTTTGCGATTGGCAAGGACAAGATCCAGGGTGGTGCTATTGAGTTGTCAGTTTGTAATGCAGTAAGCCCCAAACTACTAGACATCATTGGACAGCGCATTAACAATACGTAGGATGATATTGGGTCTATTTTGAGTGGAGCTTATCATTTTTCGTACTGATATATCAGTACTGAATGTCTTGTTTAAGCTCTCCAAGGATGACTTTCTTGGAGGTTTTATGGTGGACTTACACGAGGTCCCGTTGAGGCGGCCGCCTGAGGCTCCGCTGTCTCCACAGTGGTACAAGCTGGAAGCAAAGACCGGCAAGGGAAGTGCAAGAGGTATCTAGCTAGTGCCTCTGGATGTATATTTCTAATGAGCAGCTATCGTTCAAATTTTTGTAGAAATTATTGAATGAAAAGGCTAGTCATTAACTTTTTGGATCAGTTTTGACGTGGTAACTTTACTCAAGAGCTAACAAGTGTATAGTATTCCTGTCGAAGCATGTTAAATTAAAGCAGATTGCTATCAGTTGTTTTAACGATAAGAGGGTGGGTGTAATTTCAGGAGAAATCATGGTGTCAATTTGGTGGGGCACTCAGGCAGACGAGGCTTTCCCTGAAGCTTGGCATTCCGACACTGGTGGACAGGCCCAATTTCGCCAGAAAGTATATTTGTCCCCGAAATTGTGGTACTTAAGGTGTAACGTCATCGAAGCTCAAGAATTGGCGTCTTTTGATCACCGTCTTTCGAAGCCGGTAATTAATTCAAGCGTTGATTGAAGTTGTTCTGGTTCTTGGAATAATCAATTTCTTCCTTCCTAGCCTCTTTTATTGCTTTTCTTCTTTGCTGATCGGTCAATCTCTTGCAATTTCAAGCTTATTTGTTGCCAATTCGCAACAAGCCATGAACTCATTCTGAAGTGGTACGTAAACTTCACAGTTTGTCAGGGTTCAAGTGGGACCTTACCAGACCTTGCAGACTAGACCATCTTTCGTCAGAACTGGCAATCCCTTCTGGAACGAGGACTTGATGTTTGTTGCTTCGGAGCCATTTGAAGATATCTTACATCTTGTCGTTTTAGATCAAGTCGGCTCTCAAGTAAGTATCCTTGGACAACTTTTACTCACTTCGAGCCGTGAGTCTTGTTAGATTTAACACTCACGTTCAATTGACCCTAACTAGATGGTGATAAGTATGAAATTGTTTTTCTGATTCTGCTATTCTTGTTACGCTACACGCAGAATGATATCCTGGGTCAAGCAAGAATTCCACTAAACAGCATTGAACGCCGCATAGATGGGCATCCAGTAGTCTCCAGGTTTGGAACCATTTCACCCAATCGTATACTTTCATGTGCACAACATGTATACTTTCATCACAATTTACGATGACAAGGACAGTTTTTTGTTTCTTTGCCTCTTTCACCTGCATTCAAACGGTTTCTGACACAGGATCATGAAATTTCTATGTATCAGGTGGTATGTTTTGGAAAGAGAGGGTGGAAAGGGTGTAGCTTTTCTGGATCGAATTCATCTCCGTCTCTGTTTTGACGGTGGCTATCATGTCATGGACGAATCACCAAACTATATTAGTGACACGAGGCCTACAGCAAGGCAACTTTGGAAACACCCTTTGGGTGTCCTGGAGCTTGGTATTCACGGAGCAAACAGTCTTCTTCCTATGAAGACTACGAAGGACCATCGAGGTAGCACTGACGCATACTGTGTCGCCAAGTATGGTCCCAAATGGATTCGCACTCGCACCATTTTCGACAGCTTCAATCCTCGTTGGCAAGAGCAATATACCTGGGAGGTTCACGATCCCTGCACAGTTCTCACTGTCGGTGTATTCGACAATCGGTATGAAACCAATCAACTAGAACCTTCTGGGTCCTTCACTTTACTTTAATATACGACATCAGGTCATGTCTAATCTAACTGGACGTCCTTGGTTGTGTAGCCATGCAGTGGCACCGGGAGGTATGTCGAAGGATTTACCAATTGGAAAGGTGCGAATCAGGCTCTCTACGTTGGAGAGTGATCGCGTATACACGAATGCTTACCCCCTGCTTGTTGTAACGCCTCAAGGAGTGAAGAAAATGGGTGAGCTGGAGCTTGCAGTTCGCTTCTCTTGTGCCTCCACAGTGAATCTGATGCACGCTTACCTTCAGCCTCAATTGCCTAAAATGCACTACTTCTACCCTCTAGATCCTAGGCAGGAAGAGGCCCTCAGAGTGGCTGCCATGAACATAGTGGCACTCAGATTGATGCGATCTGATCCTCCTTTGAGGCAAGAGGTTGTCCAATTTATGTTGGACACAGAGGCAGAGCGTTGGTGCATGCGCAGAAGTAAAGCTAACTATTACAGAATACTGGTATGCACCTCATCTGCTATTTCAAGTACATATTTATTTTCTTCAGATAACATTATTCGAATTATCGCTCCTCTTAATATGTACTTATCTAATCCAAGTTATAAGTTGGGTGTGATGTGCAGGGTGTTTTGAACGGGCCTTTAGCTGTTATGAACTGGTTCACCGACATTTGTAGTTGGAAGAGCCCTGTTACTACTATACTTGTGCACATTCTCTACTTGATTCTTGTTTGGTATCCGGAGCTCTTCTTGCCCACGGTGTGTCTGTATATGTTTTTGATCGGATCTTGGAACTACCGCTTTCGGTCTCGAACGCCCCCCTTCATGGATGCCAAGCTTTCCCAAGGAGAATATGTTGGGGACTACGATGAGTTGGAGGAAGAGTTCAACGTTGTACCAGCCCAGAGAGCTCAAGAGGTTAGTCAACTTATACAGTTTCACTCTTTGGCTACAGTTGAATTGGCTGACAACATTATTTTTGAGCTCGATATTGACTAGTGGGACTCTTGCACGAGATTGCAGGTCCTGAAGTATCGATACGAGAGGCTTCGTGGTGTCGCTGGTCGAATTCAAAATGCCTTGGGTGATCTTGCCAGTATGGGAGAGAAGTTTCATTCCTTGCTCAGTTGGCGTGACCCGAGGTATGACGATTCTGAGAACTTCCAGAAACCTATTTAAATTAATAAATACGGCCTTTTTCTGGGCTGTATTTTTTCCTTGAAACAAAGTCCCCAACATATTATCGCTAGTTGGGTTGCAATAACTCATTATTGTCAAATGAATTCAATGCTTAGATATTTTCATGATTACCATGAGATTGTTTGACAAGTAATGAATTGCTTGCGATGATTCGTTTCCTGGCAATGCGTGCAGGGCAAGTGCAGTATTCATTGCAGTCTGTTTGATATCAGCGATCGTTCTGTATGTGACTCCATTCCAAGTGGTGGCAATATTGTGGGGAGTGTACGCATTGCGGCACCCACGGTTCCGTGATCCTCTGCCTTCCGTTCCCTTAAACTTACTCAAAAGGCTACCTTCACAGGCTGACCGTATTCTATGAGAAACACTACACGGAAAGACTAGTACGAGGAGTGGGAGTGTTTGCTTTTCAACTAGTGTAGCTCGATGTCTCCTCGTTGATTTTGTACTATATGCGGAAAAAGCTTTACCGGTTATTACTTAGGTAGAGAAAAGTGGCACCTTTACATGAACTCGGCGAGTGGCGTGATCTTACTGAGCGTCATTTCACGTTGTACAATTCGGATTATATTACACTGCATTCAACCTTTCCCTGTTGGATGGAAGCGAGGCTATAAATATGCGTAGACTTCCTGACGAATTCGTTCAGTTTTTCACTCTCCATGTCACTAGTTTTGAATGTCTGACTTGCACGGTTGGTTGAAACTCTTCATGCAAATTCGTAAATAGTATTTGCGATGAAATCTGTCTTTTTGACCTATCCATGTGGCTTCCAAAGCCCTTGTTTCTTCCTCATTTGGGTGCACTTCAGCAGAGGCAATACTGACGCAATCTTATTCTGTAAAATAATCTCATTTAAAGCTCAGGAACCATTATAAACGATTCCTATATATATATATATATATAACGTAAATTTTGTAATTTTGCAGCATATCATTTCTGATTGTTTTTATGCAATTACTTGTGTACTATTCAAATGAGATCAACCAAATATTATCTAACAACTCTCAACAATAATGAGTTATTGCAACCCAACTAGCGTTATCTCGTAAGGCAGCTGGCTTTTTAATGTTCATTAATACACTCCTGTCGTGTGTCCTATCACTGTCAACAGTTTGCACTTTGAAGATCAGGTATTGTAGTTTTCATTGAATAATGGATTTTATTTTTTTGAAGAAAACATAACTGGTGAGGGAGAAATGTTAATGTTCAAATTATACGTGGTTATAAATAGTAGAAACTATGAGCAAACTTTGCTTTTATATCAATGTAAAATAAATTAAGAATTAGATAAATTCTTGGAAAGATAAACTATGAAAATAAATTTCATTCTCTATTATCTGTGGATTCAAATGCATTTTAAAACAAGCTCATATGAGTAAAATTAGAAATCTCATGTTCTTTATATGTTTTTGCACAAAAGGGCAGTTTTTGTAAATTTTTTTTTCAAGCAAAAACACATGAGCTTACTTAAAGATGTTTGTGGTATTGACAATATCTTCAATTTAGGCAAGGACATGAAAACTTCAATTTTACATAGAATATTGTTGTAGACTATTCAATGATTATATGCACAAGAAATAGTAAAACTACAATGCATAGCAATGTGGTTGTCAAAACATGAGATAGAAGTGGTTGGAAGAGTTCTTCTAAAGAAAAATTTAATACGGACATTATTTATTTTATTTTATTTAAATGATTAATTAAATTAAGATCTAGGGATTAATCTTCTATATATAAATATATATATATATACATTTATTTTTTTAATTTTTAATTTTATTTATTAAATAATTTAAAATTTAAAAGAAAAATTATATAGCTTTATGTATTAAAAACATAAATCTATATTGACTTATTAAAACAAAACATACAAATATACATCTAAAAAGTTTTTTCTTACTATGTTTTAGAATCTTATCATTCAAAAATTTGTAACAATGATATATATATATATATATATATATATATATATATATCTTTATATTTAAATATTTTTAAGCTATATAGTTGTTGATATAAAAAGATTATATTTTTAAAGTTTTAGATTATACAATAATTTTATTATTGTCAAGGACATGAATCACAAATAATAAAATCCTCAAGACACTCTTGGATCATTCAAAAAGAGTAGATATTTACTCAAAGATAATAATATTTTAGAACTAGAATGGCTTTGCTAAAAAAAAAAGACAAGAGACTCTTGAAACAAGAATGAGAACAAGAAAAGTATTGACAAGAATTAATAAGGCTTCATTCATGCCTCCATATATACTTTCTAAGAGCTACAAGGTGACATTCTATAGGACCTCTAACATGTGTTTAACTTGCAAGACAAATTTCCTCCATGTGTGCCACATGGCCAACTTGTACTACAAATTGCCAACATGTGCAACATGTGTCTAACTTGTTTGTCAAATTTCTAACCTACAAATCAACTACAAATACATCTATAGTCAAATTTACATCTATGAAGCTTCTACAAAGCTAATCTACAAGATATTATCAAATCTACCTTCATTTACCTTCTACCTAATACTTCTTGTTTAGGTGATTCATGTGTATCCATGACAATTATGAGAGCATTTTAAAAAAAGACTTAAATTATTATTTTTGTATAAAAAATATATTAAATTATGTGATATTTTAAATATATATCTTGATTTAGATATAAATAAATGCACTTCAAAAATATATTAAGTATGAAATCATACATGATTTATTAAGATTTTGTAAAAACACAATCCACTAAAACAATTATTAAGTGGTAGATTGTCATACATTATAAAAAAAATGACATTATCACTAGAATTGGTTATAGGTTGATGATACATCATTATATATTTTTTTGCACCAATCCAAACAAGTTAAAATACTTTCTTGTGGTATGGCAAAGAAATTTAAAATGAAATTAATCCAAGCAACCTTATTACCAAATTTATCATAACTTCACATGAAATTTAATGATTAACACGTAAAAATCAAATAGATTACATGTAGTGCAAGCCATTGGTTGATAATATAGTGAAGAATGTCAAGTGTTCATACTATTACCATGTGAAAGCACTGTAACAATTATGAACATAAGATAAGTCAGAAGATTAAAAATAAAAAAAGATAAAATACTAGTTCCATGTGGACTTTATTTCCTAATTGCTGCTGCCTTACATTGGATGCACTGGATGTGTGCCTGAGGGTGCAACATGGGGCCAAGCTCATCTTCAGTTATCAGACAGTTCACGATAGTGCATGCTGGTCATACACACCAACAACTCACATACTGAAAGCAAGAATGATACTATTGATGAATGACCTGTCAGCAGAGAGAGGCAAGACTGCTGAAGAAATTTGGTATACGTACAATTCCAGTGTGATTCCAGGGAGTCATGTATTGCTATTTCGTGGAACAAGAGGCATCAGACCCAAGTGCAAAACCCCACAGAATGTGAAGGCCATGGACTCAAGTTGCATGTGTCACACACTGAAAGTAGACAGGTGACATCAAGTAGCTGAAGGATCGTGGAGGACTGTACCCAGTCGGCCTTTTTCACGGTAATGATGAACCCATGTCTGCAAGTGATTGTAACAATTCTTCACAACGCAGAGCTTGAATTCCTACAGTAAATCGAGCAATAATCTAGTTGTTTCTGATTGAAACAAGTGTGTGTGTGTGTGTGTGTGTGTGTTCTTTTTTTCTTTTTCATGGTCAGCCAAAAAGGTTCACAGGAAGGAGGCTTGGTGAGCCTACAATCCTAGACCTAATCGATTGCAATAGCATGTGAAGTGTGTAGAGCTTGCAGCTGAAGAGCGCCGGCCGAACACTACGTGAAGCTGATGTCATACACCTTGGTTTCATTGGGATAAAACAAGCCGAAGTTGCGCTCTGAGAGTGGTCCCGGCTTCTGATACTCATTGAACAAAGCGAATATGAAGATCTGGATTGTGGTGTCAGGCCGCGCCGGCGTTCCTTTTCCGCTCTTCACGTGTTTCAGAAGGTTGTTGTTGAACGTCTTTGCATTTTCCAGCCCCGCTGCTTTCTCCCACTCCTCACCTATGCTTGGCCATCCTGTCTCCGTTACTATCACCGGAATATCATGGTAACCTAGATTCTTCATGGCGAAAATCGACGAATCTAGCATTGCATCGAACAAGTTTGAGTAGTGGAGCCCCGTGTTGGGGTCGTCGACGCCGGTGGCGTTGTTCAGGAACAACGCGTAGCCGGGGGAGATGTTCACTGGGTCGTCGCGGTAAGGGAAGTAGGGGTAAATGTTCATCATAAGCGTGGATCCCGTGAGTTTCAGGAACCGCAGCATTGGTTCCATTATGGAGGTGCGGATGTTCTCGGCGAAGACGCCCGCTGACGGGGGATAGGATGCCCCCATGACGCCCATAGAGTGCGGTGTGGAGACTTTGATCAGGTGGTCCAAGCCATAATACACGAGCCCCGAGTGGATTTGCCACATCGCGGGCACCAGCGCAGGCCATATCTCCGGGATGCCGGATAGAATCTACACGGCAGCGGAAATTTCAGAACTAGTGCATTGAGAAACTGCCGGCGCGGCGAATTGAGGGAGCAGAGCGCGAGTGTGGAGTTTACCTCATTCCCGACAACAATGTATGTGATCTTTGCGCCTCTGAGTACGCGCTTCCTGATGTGGTTGTGAACCCATGTCCGGGCAGCTTTCTCGCTCTGTGCGAAGCCGATGATCTCCTGGTTTGGGACGCATACGATCAAGCTAATGCCCGTGTGGTCGAAAGCTCGAATTATCTCCTTTTCGTAGTCGAATATTTTGATGTGTTTGACTCCAATGCTCTGGACTAGTTTCGCAACGTCCTTGGGGCGGGGGAGGTTGTCGGCCACACGCCCATAATTAATCCCTATGTTTGCTTCTGCACAATAAGATTGACATTAACATTAGATTTGAAAGACTTGTAGCAAGATTCTATACTTCGGTGGAGCGGATTGTAACACTGATAATTACAGTTGGAAATGTCTTAATATCCGCTAAACGTTAGAACCTGTGAAAATACCCACAGAAATTTCTCAAGTAACCATTCGAAGAATCTGCGCTCTTCAACCACTCGAAGAACGCCTCGCTCGGAATGCGCATTCAACCGCTTGACTTACCGGCAAACACCGCAGCATGAAAGAGATACACCAACCCCACTACCACCGCTGCGAAGCCCCATTGCATGCCACCCCTCATCATCCCCAAGTCCAGAATGTCCAAGTTACCACGAAGTGAGGCGAACTACACACTCTCTACCTTCCACACATAAACACAATGCGAGCTCTTTACAAAAAACCCCAAACACAATCAAAGCAAACGGACGCAGGACCCAGCTCTCGCTATCCACTGAGAACTGTCAAGTTATGAACGCCAGACTCCGAAACATGTAATGTGCAGTCTGTGATTACTACCCAAACCCAGCTGTCGTGGGTGTTCCAATGATCTCCAAATCGGGAGAACATTAGAAAAATAGCCCACCGTCCCCTATTTTTGGTAATTAACCGGAAAGTTACCGCTCTGCCTCAGCTATTGCCTCTGATTTGGATTAAACAAAAAGTTGGCTATTTGAAATCTTCTAGTTGACCGATTTGCCCCTGTTGACAGATTCTATGAAACCAACTGTCATCAGCAAATCTTCTGTCTCAACGGCCATTCCCTTTTGTCCCCTTTTCTTTCTCTTTTTCCTTCTGCATCATGTCTGTCACCGCTATAGATTTTTACTGCGTCTACATGATGTTGCGAAAGGGACTAAATCCAACCTTCAGATCACAGGTCTGAACACGTAGTTTTTTCACCTAATTGCACTCAAACTGCACACTAGGTTCCTCTCTGTTGATAGCATTAAATGTAGTCGGCGCTCTCCATACTATTTATTATAGTCTACAGTGTTTCGAAAGTAGTCGGGAGAAACTGTTTATCTTCTCCTCTTTTCTTTGCTTTGCATAAGAGACATAACCCTATCAATAAACTTCTTCTTGTGTGTGTTTTTACATGTGTGTGCATATTACTTATTGTCTCTTCTCTAAAACATTCTCAACACTCTCGACCTATCGAACTGCGACCCTCGAAACCGGTTATCGAGTCCGCTGATCCAGCGACCTCGTGATCCTGCCTAACCGCGTGGAACAGTTCGCACCAAACAGGGATGAGGAGCAATTCCACATTTCTAAAAGTTATCTTTTTCCCATCTCCACGATCATCACACGTGGTACCAAAATTTCAAAACCAGATCGCCGCTTAAAGCTGACCAAAGCTGGAACGTGGACACACTTTGGTAGTTCCTGCCGCTCAGTTCCACAGAGCATGGGGCTCATTCTGGCGATGTTTGTATATTTCTGCATTTTATTTCTGTATTTTTTGTAACATGGTGGTGTTGTTGTCTTTGAGCTATCACCGTGCAAGACAAGGTTACAGATTTTACAATTGGAATTTGAATTGCTAATATCAAGGTGCTAATTTGTCATCCTTTACTGGTTTAAAGTTGTTGTAGATATAGAATTATTGTTCAACGTCTTCAAAAGCAGAGCTCGATGAGTGGAAGCTTTGATGCTGAGGGACAAAGAGATCTACATTTTACAAAGGTGGGCAGAGCGAGTGATGTGTGTGTGATAGGCACGGCAAAAGCAACATTAGAAGGTTTTTTGTGTACAATAGAGAGGGGAGTACAACATAGATTGATACTATAATAGTGAAATGAGTGCATCAGTTGGAGATAAAAACAAAAAAAAGATTTTTTAGGATTAGAGTTATCATTCAGAAGTGGAATTGTAGATTGCTCATTTAAGAATGTGCAACAATCCAAGACAAGAAACCACAAACCTTCAAATTTAGTTGTAAAAAGTAATTTGCTTATGGATTTTCATGTAGTTATGCAAACTTCTTGGTGAGGACTAAATTTAGAATCATTATTAGGATATTTGGATTAAAATGGATTTTAAAAAATATACACACAATAATTTTGGATTTTGTGAGAAAAAAATTCTTATCCAACAACTTCGAGGTTTGATTGAAGTAAGTATTGAACCTTATGAAAGACTTGATTAAGTTTAAGAAGAATATAGAGAAGAAATACTACCACATAAAGTTCTTTCTAAAAGAATTTATAAGGCAAATCCTTATTTAATTGCTCCAAAAAAAATTATTTGGAATTAGCTTATTTCTATATTAAAATTTAATATTTGATTTAATTTGAAAAAAAATTAGAATTCTTATTTATCAAATAGAATTAAAATGATAAAAAATATCCACTTAAATAACAATAAAAGAGATATTTAGATAATTTTCTTAAACTAGTGATATAGATGGCACTTAATATTTAAGACATTATAATAAAAAAAAACTTAAATTTTGATAATAACTAAATTTTTAATAATATTTTTTTATTTCAATTGTTATTAAAAAAGGTTAAGAGTTAGAAACCTTATTAGAAATCTCATGACCTAAAAGTAAAAATTAGTAATGATTAATTATAGAAAATTAGTAATAAACTATCATTTTATCTAAACATTGATTATATCATTAAAAAAATCAAATACTATTAAATTTAATATAATAAAAAAATATATAATTAGGAATAATTTTTTTAATGATATGATAAAAAAAAATAATAGAATTGATTAATACAAATAAATAAAATTAGTTATGTAAAATATTACCAAATTATAGGAAAGAATAGCATTTGTCATTTTTTTTTAGTATATCAATTATCTTTTATGGCTCACAAAGAGACACCAAAAAAACAAGATGAATCTTTATAGACTTTGGTAGGTATAATCAATAAGCAATTGAATTGACATGTTTACAAATAAAAAATGGTCGAAGTCCATAATAATCTAATTTGTCACAAAGACAAATAGTCTTGATATTACATCAAATTAAATAGATTTTATTATCAATATGTTAAATTATCAATAATAATAAACTTTTAATTTTGAATAAATGTTATATGTTTGTACAAATTCTTTAATTGCATTTTGCATATGAAGCCTTTAAAAAAATCTAGATATTAGTTCTAAAGTCTTAATGTATCCAAAATCTTATTCAATTGGAAAGTTGTAATAAGCTTGAAGAATACATAATTGTGTTTGACCTTTTGGAACATATAAGTATCCCTTCAAATGGAATAGATTATTCTTAAACTCAAACTTAGAAATGTCATGAGACTTAAAAGAATTATTCATAATATTATAAATAAGAGGATTAAAAGACATACTCAAATGAACTTGCTTAAAAAAAGTTGAATAAACAAACAATGTTGATTTCATTCCTTTAAGATGAAATTACTCTATCTTCAAGATAATTGTTCTTTTTTAATTAAAAGTTGTATCTTTTTCTTTTGGTGCAAGTCAATAATATCTTGAAAGAGCCTTTGACAAAACTTGTTATTTTTTTTAGATAATAAGTGATCTTGAATTCAAATCTTCATAAAGACATGTTCTAATAAGCTTGATAATAATTTAAAATACATATTAATATGAAATACTTAAAGTTCTTGTGATTTGTATGCACAATGATTAGACTATTGAAGAATAAATGTTGTGAAGTCACAACACTTAGCATCAATAAGGTTGTACACAAATAGAGTATAGAGTAAGATATCTCTCATTTCCAACATCCATTACTTACAAGTGGTGGTTGCTACCCTAATGAACAACTTCCATCTTTTGATGAATACATCCATCGAACTTTCTACCAAGACTATCCATCCATCTAATATTCTACCGAGACTATCCATTGTTATCTTATCTACCATCAAAATATGATTTTAGTATATTTTGTATACTCTTAAGATCCTTGATCCTTTCATCTACTTTATCTCTTGGCCTTCTTACATACCAAGAGCCAATCCTTTAACCAATAGAAACTGACCTAAAGTAATATCTTTTATAAAGTAATTTATTTTACTTTCATTTTTATTTACTTATTTTAGCATGGACTAGGAGTGCCTTCTAGATAATGATGTCATTCTTAAAATAAATCTAGAATTAAAAGTATCTCTTTGTTATAGATCTTGTACTTTATCTTGATTGCTAAATTTTTTCTTGAATATAAAGCTATAAGGTGAAGTTCATTATTTTTTCCTATTTATGATAATATTTCATCCAAAATAAATTCCAATGTATTCATTTCTATAAAAAAAATTCTTCAAAAAATTTGATGCAATACAAGATTCATATATAACTAAAAACTATCTTGTAAGCTTCAATTTTTTTTTTTTTTTTTTTTTTTTTTTTGTTGCTTCTTTATTTCTCACAAGCTTGTCTTTGTAAGTCAAACGTATAAATAAAGGTATAATTTGAAAAAAAATTCTTCATTAAGACTTGATAATAATTGGTAAAATTTTAAAAATACTTGAGATCTTTTATTGTTTTTGAAATCTTTCAATCTAGAATAGTTTGAACTTCCTTTGCATCTATTATAAGGCCATTATTTGAAATAATATATCCTAAAAAGTCAACTTGAGTTATATAAATATATAATTTTTTATTTTAGCATATATCCTTACATATTTAAATTTTTATAATACATAATAAATATAAAGTTCATACTCTTTTATATTTTTAGAATAGATTAATATATTTTTTAGACAAAATCATCTAAAAAAATATTAAAAAAAATGTCACTTATAAGATATTTAAAAGCAATTAGTGCACTGATGAGTTCAAAAAGTATGACATTATATTCAAAATATCCATATTTGATTTGAAATATAGACTTCTATTAATCTTTCTTGTTAATATATACTAGGTTGTATTCTTTTTATAATTTTATTTTACTATAGATCTTTGCATGATTGACTTGATAAAAATATCTTAATATCAAAGGTAGATGATATCTATTGTTAATGGTGATCTTGTTGACTCCTTAATAGTCTATACATATCTAAAGTGATTTGTATTTTTTCTTCATAAATAAGATAAGAACTCATGCAAAAAAATTTGAATGATATATGAAATTCTTAGTTAGTTTCTTATTATTATCTTTTTTTAATGTAATGAAATTATTTTTTGATAAGCTATAGATTGGTCCAAATAGTGGTTGAGTTCTTTTTTAAAGATCAATTGAGAAATTATATAAATAATGTTTTAAAAGAATATTTACATTCTTCTTTTAAAAAATATCTTGGTAATCTTAAAACTAACTTAAAATGCCACATAAAGTCTTTCTACTATTAAAAATGAGTGGTGCATAAATGATAAAAGATGGCCCTTCTTTTGCAACATTCATGGAAGCTTTAGCACCTATAAATAAGAGTTTGGTTGTATAAAACTTATGACTTTCTATCTCAATTAAAAAAAAAAAAAAAAAAAAAAAAAACTTTAGATTATGTTATTAAAAAAATCAAAGATAAAAGAAATCCAATCTACTTGAGGATTATACTTCTTTATCTTTGATAAAAATAAAATAACTAAATTAGATGAAGAATTAATAATATTAAATATTACTAAGCTAT